GCAAGAAGAAACTAAGAGTGAAAGTTATGAGGATAATAATGCACAGCCTCTTCCCTCTAAAAATGCAAGTGCACTTGCCCTCAAGGGATTCTGGTGCCTGAGTTTGGAACTTTCATGAAAGCCCTTGATGCCATACTGGCTCGGTTTCAACCTCCCCTGCTCCTCTAGTACCTAGAATGTTGATCCCAAAGGAATTGAAGAGTTTAGAAGCTCCAGAGTTTCGATGAGATGAGGATAAGGATCCTATTGAGGCTGATATGTGGTTAAATGATGTGATGTTAATGCTTGAAAGTTTTCAATGCTCAGATCAATAAAAGTTGGGAGGAGTTGTATCTTTACTTAGAGGATCAACTCAAGTATGGTGGTCCAACACTACGATGTATACATCACCAGAGCAAGTCACCTGGCAATTTTTCCTGGAAGAATTCAACAACAAGTATGTGGGTGAATAGTTCAAACGAGCAATATTGTTGAAGTTACTTAATTTAAAACAAGGTGATCGAGCCGTAAATGAATTTTAGGCTGAGTACAACAAGTTGAGCCGTTTTGCCACTGAAGTTGTTCCAAACGATAAGGCAAGGTATGATTACTTTATAGAGGGTTTGAGGCTAAAGATGAAGGATATGATGTTATCCTTGAACTTGCCGAGTCTACAAGAAGTCATAAATAGAGCCAAAACTATTGAAAGAGCTCAAGAGAAAATATTAGCGGCAGAGTAGAGTGTTCAAACGGGGAAAAGAGTAGGAATACCTTCCACTCCCCATCATGCTAAAAGAGGCAAGGGTTCGAGTTTCAAAATCTCAAAGAGAGATAGTTTTGCAGCAGCTTCACAGAAAAGTAGATCATCATAGTCTTTTACTGTTAGCTCGGGTAGAGCTTTTGGGGAAATGAATCTATTTCAAACTTGTGGCAAATTGAACCGAGGAGTATGTAGATTTATCAGTAGAGCTTGTTTTCTATGTGGCGATATGGGTCACTTTGCCCAGAACTGCCCTAAGAAATCTGGTGATATTTCGGCACAGTCTGAAAGATCAGTGACAGCCTAAAATAGAAGTAGAATAAGGGGTAGATCCAGGGGACAAACGAATTTAATGTAGAGACAAGAGACTCAGGAAGTCACTAGAATTTACAACATTAAAACTAATGAGGATCGGGATGACCCTGAGATCATAACAGGTATTTTCCATCTTTTCAATGAACATGTATTTGTTTTAGTTGACCTGGTTCTACACATTCATACATTAGTACAAAGTTAGTTAGATCTAGAGGAATTCCTTTAGAACCAATTGTGAGTGAGATGATAGCGGTAAATCCTATGGGTCACAGTGCGAGAGTAACTAGAGTATGTAACAAATTCCCTATAAAGATCCAAGGGATTGTGTTTTTGGCAAACTTAATGGAATTGCCCTTCGATGAATTTGAAATTATTCTAGGCATGGATTTATTGTCTTCATATTATGGATGGGTTGATTATCGTAAGAAACGTTTGTTTTAAAGAATTTCGAAGGTTCAGAAATTGTAGTAATCGACGAAAGATCGAAATCACCCTCAAATGTAATATCAGCCATGACTGCAAAGAAGATGATGTCGAAAGGATGCATAGTTTTTCTAGCTAATGTGATGGATACTCGAATTCTGGAAGTTAGAATAAATGATATTCCCACGGTTAGAGAATTTCTAGATGTATTTCCTGAGGATTTATCGGGACTACCTCCAGATCGTGAGGTAGAATTCAGGATTGAGATTTATCCGGGTACCGAACCTGTTTCTATCGCTCCGTATAGAATGGCTCCGACTGAACTGCGAGAATTAAAAGTCTAATTGTAAGAATTACTCGATAAGGGGTTTGTAAGACCTAGTGTTTCTCCTTGGGGTGCAGCTGTTTTGTTTGCGAATAAGAAGAATGGGTCTATGTGATTATGTATTGATTACCGTCAGTTAAATAAAGTCATAATAAAGAACAAGTATCCTCTTCTGAGGATTGACGATTTGTTTGACCAATTAAAAGGAGAATCAGTGTTTTCTAAGATAGACTTAAGGTCGGGGTACCATCAGTTGAAGATCAAAGAGGATGATATTTCAAAGACCATTTTTTGAACTCGGTATAGGCATTATGAATTTTTAGTGATGCCATTTGGTTTGACTAATGCATCAGTGGCCTCCATGGACTTGATGAACCGAGTATTCCAACCTTATTTGGATCAATTCATAGTGATATTTATAGATGATATCTTAGTATATTCCAAGTCAAGAGAAGAACATGATGTTCATCTTCGAGTAGTTCTTCAGATGCTACGCGAGAAGAAGTTGTATGCCAAATTGTCAAAGTGCGAATTTTGGTTAGCCGAAGTTGCTTTCCTTGGTCACATAGTTTCCATAGAAGGCATACGAGTAGATCCAAGCTATAGTAGATTGGCAATCTCCAAAGAATGTTTCTGAGGTTCAAAGTTTCTTGGGGCTTGTCGGTTATTATAGACGGTTTATGAAGAACTTCTCAATGTTAGCTTTGTCGCTGACTAAGCTGTTACGAAAAAATGTGCCTTTTGTTTGGACGGAAAAGTGCTAAGAAAGTTTTGAAGGACTCAAGAGGATATTAACAGAGGCCCAGGTGCTTGTACAACCTGAGTCGGGAAAATACTATGTTGTTTTTAGTGATGCATCTCATAATGGACTGGGGTGTGTGCTGATGCAAGATGGAAAGGTTGTGGTTTATGCTTCCAGATAGTTAAAAAATCATGAGAAAAATTATTCGACGCACGATTTGGAATTGGCAGCAGTTGTGTTTGCATTGAAAATCTGGCGCCATTATCTGTATGGGAAACGATGCCATATCTATACGGATCATAATAGTTTAAAGTATTTATTGACTCAGAGAGAATTGAACTTGAGGAAAAGAAGATGGATTGAGCTTCCAAAGGATTATGATATATTTATTGATTATCATCCTGGGAAGGCGAATGTGGTAGTAGATACGCTAAGCCGAAAGATTTTTGCATCTTTACGAGCTTTGGATACGCAAATGTCATTAAAGAAATATGGTGCCTTAATTGCTGAGCTTAAGTTAAATTCGATGTTCTTGGATCGGATTAAAGAGTTGCAAAGTCAAGATGAGAAATGCTTGTTGAGAATGGAACAGGTCGAAAAGAATGAGACCAAAGACTTCGAAGTAAGAGATGATGGATGTCTATATTATAGGGGAAGACTTTGCATTCTAGATAATGATGATTTGAAGAAAGATATTCTTTTTGAAGAACATTATAGTCCTTTGACGATGCATCTTGGAGGTAATAAATTGTACCAGGATTTAAAAAGTCGTTATTGGTGGCTTGGTATGAAAAGAGCTATATCGGAGTTTGTGGCAAGATGTTTTACATGTCAGCAAGTGAAAGATGAACATCAAGTACCCTCTGGATTACTTCAATCGATATCCACTCCGAAGTGGAAGTGGGAGCGAGTTACCATGGATTTTTTTAGGGCTATTTCTATCTCCTGGTAAAAATGATTCCATATGGGTTATTGTAAACCGATTAACCAAGACCGCTCATTTTATTCTAGTTCGGGTAGATTACTTGATGGATAAATATGTGGAGTTGCACATTAAATAAATAATTAGACTTCATGGAGTGCCGATATCTATAGTGTCTCGGTTTACATCAAGGTTTTGAAAGTCGTTGCATGAGACATTGGGTACTCGATTGAACTTCAGCACAGCTTTTCATCCACAAACGGATGGGCAGTCCAAACGAATCATCCAAATACTTGAGGATATGCTAAGGGAATGTGTGATTGAGTTTAAATGATCATGGGAAAGGTATTTACCTTTAGCCGAATTTGCGTATAATAACAGTTACCAGCCAAGTATTAAAATGACCCCGTATAAAGCATTATATAGGAGAAAGTGTCGTACACAATTAAATTGGTTTAAATTGAAAGATCGAGACATAATTAGGCCGGAGTTGATTAAAGAGATGGAGGAGAAAGTAAAGATTATTCAAGGGAATCTCAAGATAGCCTCCGATCGGCAGAAATTTAAAGACCGAGACATAATTAGGCCGGAGTTTGAATAAATAAACGCACATAAACGAACTTCTCGCCGCACGGTTCATGAACGGTTCGCTGAATGTTCAGTTCATTTACAGGCCTAGTTCCAAACTCATCCTTTTCGTTAAAAAATTGATAGTTGTCTAAGTTGGACATTAACATAATGCTTGGGATATGATAATCATTTGATATTCTGGGATAAGAATTTATCATATCATGGTCAATATGTTGACGGTTAAATCAAAATGTCGTCAATTTTTAACAGAAAATGACAAGTTTGAAACATAATGAATAGTTGGATAACCATTTTGTAATTTTTAATAGTCAATGAAATTAACAAAGTAACATTCTATGATCGAATGATCATTTTATAACTTTTAATAATTGATGGACTTAATAAAATAATACCTTATAGTCAAGATGCCATTTGTTTACTTTACCAATATTGTTTTTGAATAGTTGAAGTGTTTATAAGGTAATATAATATCTACTCAAAATCTTTATTAGCTATTGACAATATACATCTTGCATACACAATTATTTGAACACAAGATCTATATCATTGAGGTCATTTGATAATTTAAAAAAAATTATTGTATTAAGAACAAAATAAAATTTATTCATTTTGACGCGTAACAACCATCGAAATCTACGAGCAAAAATATTTTTAACTTCTAAATATTTCTACAGAATTTTTTTTATCAATAAATTTTAAAAAAGTTATAAAACTAATATATCCTCAAATAATTATTATAGAATGCATAATATTAAAACATAATATCCCAAAAGCATTGTATCTCCGTTAAAATATGAACCTTATTTGTGTGGAAGCATTATTCTTCGTCTTAAAATTCAGTTCACACTCGGTGCCTACTGTTAAACTGTACCATCCCAAGTGAGAAAATCCACATAAATTCATGGAAAAGCAAGAAATTGTTTACATGTAATGACGACCCATTTCACTGCTTCAATTCAAAATATCAACACTGACCCAACTTACACAAACATAAAATAAATCCTGTTTTATTTTTGTCACAAATTTCACCTTATTTTTGTACTTCATTCCACTGTTACCCGACCATTACTCCCCCAATGCCTAGCAACGCGACCCCTTCTTGCAGACGAGTACACCGGCATCTCCAGTGAGCTCGCTCACTATTGACGATGGCCTCGCACTCAGGCTCGATGCCTTGGCGTAACTCGAAGAGGTCCCTTTGCCTGATGCCCTGAAGAATGCTCCATTCAACATCAAATCCCCCTCTGACCTCCAATTCCATGACCTCCATCCATTCTCCGACGCATCTATGCGTTTAGTCACCTCTTTGTTGTTTGAATTATCCGGTGCAAGAAACCTATTCCCCTCACTGTTGATTGTCGGATTAGCACTCCCACCAATCGCGTACATTTCCCAGTGCGTGTAATCATTGTTCACAACATGAAAATATCCATGCCTGCATCTATATTGACCCGAAAAGAAAAATGAAAACAATTCAGGCTAATACTCGGCTAGCCATATATAATGTATATATATTTGTATGTATGTATTACCTAGGCATTCCTTGGACAAGTCCTTCTCCAAAGTGATTGAAGGCAATGGTGACTTGCATGTTATTGTCCTGCTCGTAAGAGTCGCCGTGGCCCAAGAGCACTACCTTGTTATGATGAGTCATGTAATTGCTGGAAATGGTGATGGCCGTGGATCCTTGGATGGCATTGACCAGCCCGTTTGTACTATTCGACAACGAGCAATGGTCGACCCAAATGTGGCTGCTTCTGGATATCAGCACAGCATCACCGTCTGATATTATCCTCCAACCATAATGGTTAGGAGAGTCTCTCACATAAGCATTCCCTCCTCTCTTGCAACCGCGTATGTTAATACCGTGGATTATGATGTTGCTCACGGATTGTACAGTAATGCACGGACCACCGGCGATGTGAACGTTGGCGCCTCGACCATCGATGGTCTTGTATGAGCTCATTAGCAATTCTTGCTTCAATTTAATAACCATGTCATGCGCAAAAACGATCCATAAGGGTTCGGTTTGGATAGCAGCATGCCTAATAGTCCCGGGTTTGGGGTTGATGGGGTCACGGTCACTAGGGTCCATGACTACGTATATTTTCCCATCCCTGCCACCGATGGCATTCTTACCGAACCCAATGGCGCAATCAGCTAGCCTCCGACGGTTCTTCTCCCAATGAGGGTCACATCGCCAGCAGTCATCGATGGGGTTTCCGGTTCCGCAGGAGAGAAATCCCAAGCCCCTCCTAGCCATTGTAGCATTCATGATGCTCCTGTATAAATCCAACATACGTCCAAGTTAAAGAAAAAAATGTGACATATAATTTATTGTTTATAAAATATATTTAGAGTTCGAATATTAGCGTGTGTAACATGTTAGATTACAACATCTTTTATATACATACTCATCGACTAGTTGGGCGGCTTGGTCGGAGTCTTGAACAGGGGACGAGAAAATGAAGATGGGAGCCTGAAGGAGAGGCCATATAAGGAGAAAGAGGGATAGTGGAATTGGCATTTGAGGGACTTTTCTCTGCAAAATTAAGAGAGAATGTTGAAGGAGAAGAAAAGTTTGTGAAACTGGGAAGAATGGAGCGGGGTTTATAAAGGGGATAAACCAAGTACTAAAGATTTGTTATAATTAGTTTGTGGAACTGGGAGGAATGGAGCGGGGTTTATAAAGGGGATCAACCAAGTACTTGAAAATTAAACTTACATGATAAGATATTGAAAATTAATATTTGATTCATGCGTCTTTTAAAATATATAATGAATATTAAAAAAACTTAATAAATATAATTCATTCTTAAATAGTGTAGAAATTAATATCTATTCAAAATTTTTCTTAATTTATTGAAAACCCACTTTATAAATCTAATTGTTTAAACTCAAATTCTATAATGAAAATAACGTAATCTTTTACACTAAAACCATTAAATAAATTCTTGATAAACATGAATTGAATATTGAGTTAGAGAACAATTTTAGTTGGCATAAAAAGATTTAATTAAGTTAATTGAGAGATCTTAATTAATTGCTGAGAATAGGGGTTGGTATTAGATAAGTTGAGTTGAGTTAAATTTTTTTAAGTTATTTGAGTTTACGAGTCTTATTTTATAACTCAAATTTTATTTGAATTTTTTTTTGAATCAAATCAAGTTTTTGTCTTTATGTTTAAATTTAGTTGTAAATGTTTACAATGTTCTCATACTATTGATTCTGATTTAACCGGTTTTTTATAACTATATATGATATACATATATATTTATTCATATTGTTTCACATACTATATATATATATATCATAGAAAGTTAAGAGATTCGACTCAAACATAAAATTCAATTCATTAATCATTAAAAATATTGAGTTATTCAAATCTTATTTTATAAATCGACTAAAACTTAAATTTTTTCTGTGGAGTTGAGTTTTCATGAACTCTAGTTGAGAAAGCATTCCAAAAACTTACTTGAATATAACATAAATTGGAGTAAAGAATTCGACAATTATAATTTCGTGAGTTTGATTTGTAAAAATAGTCTTCTATATTTATCAAAATGGTCATTGTAAATTATATTCTCTATTTAAAGTATTTTAGTTTTAATGTTTCATCTTAGGATAAAAAAAACCCTTAATAGATCGAAACCATTAATTAATAAACAATTTTTTTATTAAGCTAAGGCGATTATAAATTAGTATTTGTTCTAAATACTCTCAATTATTTGACAATAAATACTCAATCACCTTAATGTAGTCATTGGTGCTCGAACTCATAACCTCTAGGAACAACAATGATTCCTTTAACCATTGAGATAAGTTGGTTCGTGCAATTAACAAAAGGCTAAAACTTTAAAATATGAGCATTTTTACTTTAAAATGAAACATTGATGGCTAAAATTCTCCAAAAGTTAAAGAATAAGAGTTAAAGTGATTATTTACTCAAACATGATGAACATATTACCCTAAACTAAGATATTGAGGACAAAAATATTTTTTAAAAAAAAGGTCAAAATGATTATTCTGAAAAACATTAAGGGTTAATTTTGGTATTATACCTAAAATATAAGAAGAGAGAAATTAAAGCCGCCATAAGTGGACAAAGAGTAACAAAATAATTACCTGAAAATACCGTTGAAATTGTTTGGTGATAATTGACAAATAAGTTTTGCTATTACAAATTACCAAATTTTATGAATGGCTCCATTTCCATGCTCAACCAAGTCATCTGTGCAATTATTACAAAATTGCATAAAGAAATATTCTTCACACTGCTCACTAAATTGAGGTTGTCCTTCATGTTTTTCCAACATGAAAACATCAAAAGTGAAACTTTCTTTCTCCATCAAGGTAAACTTTGCTCTTTTATGTCGCAAATTTCAATCAGTTCTCTTGCAATCATTAAGCACTGAGGGATCACATCTAATCGTTCATCATTATTATTAAAATGAATTATTAAACATATAATGTATTTAACTATATTGTAAAATAAATTTGAAGAGTTTTTCACCTATGGTATGATGCATTTTTGATCCATTATGTAATCTTAATGGTAAAAAGTAATATTGTTCTCATTAGATATTTCGAGTTTGAGTAGTTGTGTTTGAGGGTGTACGTTATCAATAGTTAAGAAATAATTTTAAACAAATATTATCTTATAATCATTTCAAACTATTAAAAAATATTAACTTTTAACCACAAAAATATGAAATATAATGTGATAATTGAGTATATCGCCTTTTGATTATATAGTCGAACTTTTTGAACTCCATATTTGAGAACTAAGAGTTTAAAATAATAGAGCTTTAGAGTTTGAGAGAGTAGATCTAGAGAGTCAGAGAGTATGTGTGATACTGTTTTTTGCCCGGTGGGAAAAAACCATTATGACTTAGGGTTTTTTTTAAAAAGATTTTGAAATGCGAGGAGTCGCCACAAACCATTTAAGGTGGGATTGGAATACCATAAATATTGAATGATTTAAAAAAACATTTTATTTTTCCAAAATATTGAGTTTTGGGGTCTACAAAAATCCAGAAATCAGGCTCGAGAGTCGGTTACGCGTGAGGAAGGGTTAACACCCCCCACAACACCAAGAAATTGGTACCTAGTTTATTACCATATTTTGAAATTTGGAAATTTTGATTTCGAAGTTTATTTAATATAAAATTCACTATGGATGCGCAGTTGAAAAGGATGTTTGATTATTTAAGTCAATAATATTCGCCCCTAGCATGAATGTGGGAGATAAATTATTATGCCCAACAATCGAACATTGCCTTGAAATTTTGGAACATGACAAGATTTTCGAAAAGGATGTGAACCTACTTCGAGAGTCACCAGTAGTCACCCCCTGAGCATAGTGCGGAGGATATGCCATTAACTCCTTGGTAAATCAACATTGCCTTACTATTTTAAATCCAAATGCAAGCAAACAACTTTTTATTATATCTAATTATACTAGGTTAGTTAATTAAGGCTTCCCCTAACCTAAAGTGTCAAATTATGAGATTTAAAGAATCTAGGGTATTAAACCTAAAAAGTGTGGGCTATAATATTAATCCTAATAATTTTTGGTAAATTATTGAATTGAACAACCAAAATGGAACCTCAAGCATAAGCGAAGACCAAATCAAAAATTCCCTAGATTAAAGGACTAGGTTTAAATTAAACCTAAAATGGAGGCTCTAAACATTACTCTATTCGATTTTAATCGATTATGCAATTCGAATAATTAAATTGGAACCTCGAGCAAAAGCGAGGACCAAATTAAGAATTCTCCTAATTTAAGTAATAAATGTGAAATTAGGCCTAAAATGGAGGCTCTAATATTAATCCTAATTAATTTTAGTTAGTTATTGAATCGAATAACTAATTTGGAACCTCGAGCATAAGCGAAGGGCAAAATAAAAAATTCTCTTAAATTAAAAGTTTAGGGACCAAATTTAAAAGAGTCTAAATTTAACTACTAAATCTAACAAGACAATTGATCCATCAAGGAAAAAATTAAAAAAGAATTTAAAAATGCAAAGCTGAAATTAAAGTTCATTAAATAAAGGACCAAAATAAAAGAGAACAAAAATTAAAGCTTTAATTAAGAAATTGTAGAAGATTAAAAAATTAGTGTTCAAAGGCTGAAAAGTAAATCCATAAATTAAAATAACAAAAATTGAAAGGGTAAAAATTTAAATAATAGAAAATAAATCAATTGAATAAAATTAGAGGTTAGGGGTTAATATTTAAAATGTTACATGGACCATAAATCATGTGGATCATACCCCAGAGCGGGTCACCACAAGGTCATATTAACTTTTGAATATTAATAAAAATTAAAAAGGTTAAAATGCAATATGAACAAAAAACAATATGCAATTTGAAATAAATAAAAAGTCTCATGAACAAGTGACCAGAATAAAAATAAAATAAACAAGGGCATCAGTTTCATAATAGAAACAAATACATATAAACGACCATAATGAAAACTAATAAAATTAACGTCCCAAATTTAAAATAAACAAGAAACAAAAGAACAATGACCAAAATGAAAAAACATGCGTGAAGTAGAGGGTTCTGAAAGAAAATAAACCAATAAGTTAGTATTAAAACATTAAAAATGGTAAATATCAAAATAAGGACAAAATATTTAAAAATAAGCTAAAATTGGGACCAAAATGAACACGGGAGAAAATAGCGATGGTTGCACGCGTGATTAAACCACCGAGACCAAAGTGCACAACATAAAGGGGTTAAAAAAGACATCGTTTTGAGGTGTTCGAGCAGGTGCTAGAACAACACCGTTTTGATGTGCCTATAAATAGACTAAATCATTTTTTTCATTTTTTGCGTGAAATTCTATCTCCTCTCCCAATATGCTTTCCCTTCTCTCTAGCAACCGGGGACTAGCACCACCGCTGCCTATCGTTAATTACCGTGTCGTCCGCTATCGTCGGTGGCTGTAGGCTACCAAACTTTTAGGGTTCATTCATCTAGTCATGGCAGTTGCATATCTGACCACCGTTTCAAGATCCGACCTCAAATGTCGTGAAAAGGGCCGAGACCCTTCGATTCTTTTAGGTTCTGATCTCTATCGTCCACCATTAGATCAGACTGGTTTCAACGTATGTTGCTCCCGGGGACTCCTTACACCTTCTCACCGCTCGGATTGGGAAATGGGGGCTCTAATTGTCGGTGAGTGGTTAGGCCGAGAGGTATACCTTCCTTTCTTTTTTTTGATAGTTTGTAAGGTTAGTTTGAGAGATTAATAAAGAAAAATGTAAAAAAATATAATTTAGTATTTTGTTGCTAAAAAATCAGAAATGCTTTGTTCTTTGTTATTGCTTGAAAAAAATGGTGGGGAAAAGGACCCCTTTTCATTGCTTATGTAAATCGATGGGGAAGAAGAGGAAACTTTTTTTTTTACATATTTTCAGAGAGAGTTCTATAGGATCCCTCCCGTTTACAAGAAAAAAAACCAGTCTAACACCCATAACCCGTATACGTGAACCAATATGAGTTACAGATGTCAAATCAGAAATTCAAAACATTTATTTAATTAAACTAAGTAAAATTTTGTTTCATTCAAACATCACTAGTTTCATAACTTGAATAATTATTAT